CTAGAAGATAGAAAAATGGGAAACGATTCCAGACAAACACCAACCCCGAGAAACCGAATAGAGTGCTACCGGTGCCATAAACTTGGGCATATTCAACGAGATTGTCGAGTGAGGATGTCCTCTCCATCAAGGGATCGTTTCCAACGCTTTTCGAGATCGAGAGACGCCAGCCCTAATAACAGACAGGGAAACGAGAACTAACCAGTATGGAGGGGCGAATGCTGGTTAGTAATGACGAAGCCCCCAGGGTTGTTTACATAAAATCATTGGGCAGTCATTATAGAGGATTAAAATTCGAAGGACAAATTAATGGAGAATTGAAAACCATTACTTTTGATACGGGTGCTGAAGTTTCCATAATTAAAAGAACATTAGTCAAGTCTCGGGCAATCCAACCGCTCACTAGAAACCTGTCACTACGAACAGTCACCGGCGAATCTGCAGCAGTTCAAGGAGAAGCTATGGTTGGGCTCACTTTTGGATCTACCACCTTCAGGCACAAAACATTAGTCGCCGATATAGAAGATGATTTTATTTTGGGAATGGATTTGATCGGCCAACATGGTTTCTCTTTTGATCCTTCCATGAACATCCTTAAATTTGGTAATGAAGAAATTGTCCTAACAACACAAGAAGAATCCGATGCCGTTAAGATCCTGGCCACAACCCCAGTGAGGATTCCTGGAAGTACTGAGAAGATCATTTGCGGAAAATTAGAAACAAACCCTGGGTGTTGCGTTGGGCTAACACGTAATTTCATTGGAGATAAACCAGAAAGATTTCTTGTTGGAAAGACCCTAGTAAGAACAAATGGAGACATTATGATAAGAATTGCCAATGTTTCTTCCGAAACAGTAAGAATAAAAGAAGGAGACATTATTGGAGCTCTCGAACCAGTGAAGCAAATATCGAACTGTGACCTACCAGATAAGCGACATTTTGTGAAATCCAAATTAGATACAGACACCTTGATGCAGACCCTGGCGAAATCATGGAAACATCTCGATCCAGATAGACTTCAAGAAGCCACAGATTTCATTTTGAAAGAAGCAGACGTATTTGTGATGGACAATCAAACCGGCCGAACCAGCTTAATTCAACACAAAATTGATACTGGATTGGCACACCCAATTAGACAACCACCACGACGTATGCCAGTAGCGAAGCAACAGGAAGTGGAAAACCAAATTGATAAAATGCTTCAAGAGGGAATCATTGAAGAGTCAAATAGTCCATGGTCCGCGCCAGTAGTATTGGTTACGAAGAAAGATGGGAGTCTTAGATTTCGTGTGGACTACCGAAAGCTTAATGACGTCACCAAGAAGGACAGCTTCCCTCTCCCAAGAATAGACGATACACTAATAACTCTATCGGGCTCCAAATGGTTTTCCACCTTGGATCTCAAAAGTGGATACTGGCAAGTGGCAATACATGACGATGACAAAGAGAAAACTGCCTTCAGTACCGGTAGCGGACTATACCAGTTTAATGTAATGCCTTTCGGATTGTGTAATGCTCCAGCTACGTTTGAGCGACTGATGCATCTTGTTTTGCGAGGCCTTACGTGGAGAACTTGCCTGGTATATTTGGACGATGTCATGATTATGGGAAATTCGTTCCAAGAACATCTCAATAACCTAAAAGAAGTTTTTGACCGCTTCCGGAATGCAAAATTGAAACTCAATCCAAATAAGTGTTTCCTATTTCAAAAGAAAGTGGAATTCTTGTCACGTGGTATCTGAAGAGGGCATACAAGTTATGGAAGGAAAAATAGATGCTGTCAGGGACTGGCCAAAACCAGGCGACAAACATGAACTAAGGAGTTTTCTAGGATTATGTTCTTATTATCGAAGATTTGTGGAAGGATTCGCCAAAATAGCTGCTCCACTTCATCGATTGACAGAAGAAAAATCAACATTCAATTGGACCCAAGAATGCGATTCCGCGTTTAGAAAATTGAAAGGAGCATTATGTACGAGCCCAGTGTTGTCCTATCCTGATTACAAAGGCATGTTGATTTTGGACACAGATGCAAGTAACACCAGTGTTGGAGCTGTCCTTTCACAAATCCAAAACTCACAAGAACATGTCGTGGAGTACTACAGCAGAACATTATCAAAGCCGGAACGAAATTATTGTGTCACCAGAAGAGAGTTGCTTGCCATAGTAAAAGCATTCGACCATTTTCATAAGTATCTCTACGGACGCAAGTTTCTAATTAGAACAGATCACGCAGCTCTAAAATGGCTTTTAGAAATGAAAACTCCTGAAGGACAGCTTGCTAGATGGATTGAGAAATTGCAGCAATACGATTTCCAAATTAAACATCGGCCTGGAAACCTACATAAAAATGCTGACGCTCTGTCTAGACGGCCATGTAAAGAAGATTGCAAACATTGTCAAAGAATCGATATACCTGAGAAAAACACTAGTCCAGCTGTAAGAAGAACGGGCCTGATCGTCGATGATAAATGGACTACCAAGCAAATGAGAGAAGATCAGGAGGCAGACCAGGACATCGGGCAAATTCTACATCTTAAAGAAAACGATGAATGTAGGCCAGAATGGAGGGAAGTGTCAAACAAGAGCTTGATTTACAAAGCGTTGTGGGCCCAATGGAACTCTCTGGCTGTAGAAAATGGTTTGCTCAAAAGAGTTTGGGAAAGTGCCGATGGGAAATCCACTAAGAGCCAACTGGTTATCCCAAAAGACCGAGTGGAAGATGTATTAAAAGAAATACACGATGGAACCTCAGGGGCACATTTCGGAGTTAACAAGACTTTGGACAAAATTCGGGAACGTTTTTACTGGGTTCACTACCATGAAGACGTTAAAAGCTGGTGCCGAAAATGCGACATCTGTGCTACCAGTAAAGGCCCTAAACTAAGATCTCGGGGGCCCATGAAACAGTATAACGTTGGTCTTCCATTTGAGAGAATAGCGATAGATGTAGCAGGACCGTTCCCAGAGTCAGAGCGTGGTAACAAATACATCTTAGTTATCATGGATTACTTCAGTAAATGGCCAGAAGTTTTCGCTATTCCCAATCAAGAAGCCATCACTGTTGCCCAGGTGCTAGTGGACGAAGTTTTTAGTCGTCATGGTGTGCCACTAGAGTTACATTCAGACCAAGGACGAAACTTCGAATCTGCCATCTTTAAGAAAGTTTGTGAGATCATGGGCATTCGTAAGACAAGGACAACACCTTTACACCCTCAGTCTGATGGTATGGTAGAACGATTCAATAAGACCATAGAGGAACACCTGACATAAGTGGTCGCAAAGAACCAACGAGATTGGGACAAGCATTTGCCTCTCTTTTTAATGGCTTACAGAGCGGCTGTTCACGATTCAACAGGTGAAAGTCCGGCTAGAATTGTTTTTGGAAGGGAACTCAGGCTACCTTGCGATCTGATGTTTGGAGTACCCGAAGAAGAACGAAGAGAAATCCGAGATTATGCCGACGAAGTAAGGGCACGACTTCTGGGTATCCATGATTTTGCTCGGGAGCATATTCAACTAGCCAGTGACCGAATGAAGACCAGATACGACTTGAAGGCCAATTCGGTCGGATTTCAAGAAGGTGATTTAGTGTGGTTGTATAACCCAGTAAGGAAGAAAGGAGTATCACCGAAATTGTCTTCAGCATGGGAAGGACCCTATAGAGTAATCAAGAGGATCAATGATTTGGTTTATCGAGTCCAGCGCAACACCAGGAGTAAGATGAAAGTTGTACATCTGGACAGGTTGGCGAAATATCATGGGCGTGAAGTTGATCGGGACGATCAACCTTAAGAGGAGGGCAGTGTCACAATAAGCTAAACGTCCGCCAGGCTGTCAAGAATCGATCGCGGAAATACTAGAATCTAGCGAATTATTCTACTTTAATCTGGAAAATTAGATTATCGTGTGTATTCTAGATTTCACAGGAATAGATTTAGGGATATATAAGAAGGCCGGCATTGGTTTGTAAGTTAGTTTCAGTTCGAGTGTGATACGATTTAAATAGTGATTGTAAAGAGTTTAATTGTTGAGTTTGTTAATAAAGTAATTAGTGTCAGAGTGTTTTGTTAAGTGGAATAAATTATTGCTGTGTTAATTGGACTTTGATTTTTGGAATAAACGAAACGAACAATGAACCCAAGATTTTTGTCAACAGGCAACCCAAAGCCGCGACAATATACAACATTTTTTATGGTTTTATGCAGTTTTTATTAACTGTTTAGTAGGCAAACATAATTCCTAAGCTTTGTAAATATGCTGATAAAAAATACCAGGATTTAGATTTTAATTTTTTATGGCTAAAACTTCAAGTTTAAAGGACGATGTTTATTGGTACATGGATACCTTAAATATGACTCTTTTTTTTTGACGTTGTCATATACAGGGCGTTCCATTGAAAATAGTGGAGAATTTCGATGTTGAAAAACGGATTTTTTTTTACTCGCCCTGTATAAGAGGCAAACAAATTTGCAACCTACTAAAAAAAATTTTAGGCCAAGAAAAATCGAATGGCGCAAACCGCAGGTAGCTAGCACACCTGGTTTAAAAGTTATAAGCATTCAAAATAGGTCACTCTCGGCTGCCTGTATTGAAATATAACAACAGTACTCATAGTACAATAAATCACACTCCTTTTCAAGTGATTAAGGGAGATTTGAATTATGTCATACCAATTGAAGTAACAGCTGATTATATAACAAGTTTTGCAGAGGCCCTCACAAATTTGAATAAAGAGATTCAAGAAATTTTTTTAGCGAAACAAAGTCTTCAGAATCACGCAATAAAAATCGTAAACCCGAACCAGAATCACAAGATCCAATCTTCCTAAAACAATTTAATAGAGACCAGATAAGTCCGTGTTATGATAGCAAAACACAGAATCCCTTTGCTAAACAAAATGTTACAAGACAATAATTTTTTTCCTATATGTGATTGTATTTGAACATACAAATTGGTCACCCGCAACTGTCCTGTTGTTTCAATGACATTATCCAGTCATGACGTTTTTCATAATTTGTGGACAGCCCGACTGTAAACATTATAATCACGCAGCATTTGTAGCCCAGTACCTGCACGAACATCTGCCCAATTTCGAATATAGAACGATAGAAAAATCGAAAAAAGACTGGCCCGTTTATGTGACGCAGCTCAACAAAAACAACGGTTGGCACGTGGTCGAAAGTCCGATAATTTGGAAAGAAATAACATGTTGGGGCGGCAAACCTCATTTGATTGGTGGTTTGGGAGAATTTTGGGAATACTGTTTCTCCTATTATGGTTTCCAATCGGCTATACCCAAAGAAGACTTGGAAAAACTAACGCAACACAATTTGAGATGTTTTGAAGAAGAAGCCAGCTCCAACTCAAAAGAATTTCGCAAATATAATGTTGTTTTAGGTATATTATGTAATGATCAAGTAGACTTTATAGGGCATTTTTTAAATGACCTTCTTAGTATTCCATATTTTATGAAAGACAAAGGATTTTTTGTTAAAATTTATAGAAATGACAATTTCGATAAACAAGGAGACACCAAATCTCTTCGACAAATTGTACGAAATTTAAATTCCCAATCACTTTTTGGTGATCAGGAGGTTGCAGATATCGTTGATACTCAAGAAGCAGCTATTAAAGATACCAATCTACTAATTTTTCTGGAAGATTTTTCTAAAGCTGACGAGGAATGGGTGCAAATGCAAATGTGTTCCAACAGAATAACGACATTAGCAGAAGACGTAAATATATTTGCCAAAAGGGATTTGAGAATAATATTTTGCAATGAAGGTCCAATTTGTTTAATGGCCACTTTAGCTATAGAATATTGTAGTGTGCTGTTACCAACCAATATTGTAGCCTTAACTTCTGATAAAGGCTTACCTGTAATCAGTACAATATCAGAAATGGTTAATATACCGGTAGCAAATATTGGCGCTCCGCCAGTTTGGGGGTTCATTGGCCTCAACGAATATATTGACGAATCTAATATCGTTTTCAAAGCTAATATTTACAAACCCTATAAAAGAGCCCTAACTGCTCCAGATAATTCCACACTTCCTTTAGGCACTGTTGTTTCTGAGTTACGAACAATGGCATACTTACTACCAGACAAGCACGAGGAAATTACTAGCAGAGTTGAAGAGAGAAAAAAGAATATTTTATCAAAGTTGGGCAGAAAATCAAGATCAGCGAGACTAAGCGCTTTAAGAAGCCTAATAAATACATGGTACGCAGAAGAAGTATTAGATGACATAATATTTTTGGGAGTATGGTCTAATGGATGCTATGGAATACCACCAGGACTTGTATTTTCGCAACCATGTATTCTGGATGAAAGACGAAGATGGAAACCATTTCGAAATTTTCCTTTGGTTAGTGATGCCATCTTGGCAAAAATACAAACATTTGTAGAAGAGACGAAAGAGAGATTATCTATATGTTCTGAGAATCAAGAGATGACAGAGAAAAATTCTATATGTTCTGAAAATCAATGAAAACCAGCCCAAGAAAATATCAATTATTAATTTGTAGATCATCTTGTTTTAGAAAATACTTTGAGTTTCACTTAAGAGTTCATTATTGAAAAAAAATTTTGCTTACCTGACACCCTCAATAACAACAGCACTCTTCTCCAGCGTGGCAACATTATAATTTGGACAAATAACATCTCCCACCATCTTGGGAATTTTCTGTTTATACATGCATTCAAACGTAACTAAATGAAACACTTTATTGACAGTATTATGCGTCCCCACTATCCTAATATACTGTACAACTCTGGTATCAAAGTACAATTCCTGCCAAGATCGGCAGCAATATTGACTATAATCCACAACTCTGACCCAATCTTTTTGCTCCATTGATACTTCTACATAGTAAGAGTAGCTTCTGATGTCTCTATCCCATAACAGCATACGAATATGGTTGATAATTGAAGGTACTCCAAGTTTGACGATGATTCCTTGATCTACTGGGCCATTGATGGCATGTCTAGTGTAACCTTTATCCATGTCGTAGCTGTAATTATCGCCATCTAGTAAAAATTCTGTGAGTTCACCGGCAACTACTTTCGAACCAGTTCTTGGACAAGCTACATTTTCATTGACAACTAGCAAGCCTCTATGCGGTAAGGTACTGATTCTACAATTTGTTCTTTCAGCAATAGCGTCTAATAAAGTATCGGGTTTAACTAATCCCGCAGGTCTGACTACTGACAGTAAGTCAACAACACTCATGAGAGGGAGTCTTACGCAGTTCATTGCTTTGTCATCAATATCCTGGGGAAAATTTGAATATACTTAGGTTTTTTTTTGTTTCAATGCTAATGCACTTACCTCATTGACTTTGCACCAGTTGCATACGCCACGAAAAATTTCAACTTCTGGGGCGAAAAATGAGTCTCTTTGGAGTAGTTCGATGAGTGCGACCTTGAATTAAAAAAAAAATTTGATCAATTATCCAAAAGATTTGATTTACTAGGAGATTTTTGCAATAACATGAGTCTATTTTATTAATTTGTGAAAACAAACGTTTTAAATTTAGATCATAATCAGTTTATATAATATTTATCTGTGATCATAATGTTAGTTGAAATGCAATCTTACAAACAGTATGCACAGTTTCTCTTGATATTTTGATAGAAACAAATTTCGAATTGACCTCTGGTGTTCAAATGGATAGGTAGGTAGTGCGAAGGTACAACCTATCAGGGACAATGAGTGATCCCTGCCAACCGCATATTTATAGATATACTGGGTGTTCCTAAATATCATGTACAAACCGAAGGGAATGATTCTTTGGTTTATTTTATGACTAAAATTTATAATAAACATACGTCCGCAAACGCTTGGTTGCCGCTCTACAGGGTGTTCAAATTTGAATGTATTCATATTGAAAATGAGCAAGAATATGACGGCGAGGGCGAGGCTTATTTCTAGATTCCTATTGAAAATGAGCAAAAATATGGCGGCGGGACCTGTATTGTCACCACTGTAGGTAGAAAAGGTTTATTGAATCACTGTAGTTTCATCTAACTAATTACAGAGATTTGTTTTTCAATTTTTTTCTCAATAAGGGTCGGTGATACGGAAAAACTACAAGAGAAAAAAAAGTTTCTGAATAAAGTAGAAAAATAGTATATTGTCTATTTAGGTAGAAAAGTGACAGATTCTCGGCCTACGGTGTGAGTTGAAGGGTGAGGCGTAGCCGAGGCCGGCAAACACCAAAGGCCGAGAATGTATTTTTCCACCGAAATACACATACTATTTTTTCTGCGAACGGTTAAATATCTGTTAAATATTTGGCTTTTTGTTACAATTGTTCAGCAGTACGAGAATCACTTTCCCGGCAAACGAAAGGGGGTGATTCTTTGGTTTATTTTATGACTAAAATTTTAGTTTAACTAAAATCTCTCCACAGTAATGAAACACTTTCCACTTCGGTATGTAATATACTATTGTTTTTTAGAATCTACCAGCGGCGCACCGCAAAAAAGTTCGGGGGCAAAAAACGGGGCATGACCCCTGAAAAAAAATTACCCGGTAGATTCTGACAAACGTTTGCCATGTGCAATCATTTAGCTCCTATTGCGTAACCTATATTCCAAATTTTAGCTAAATCCCTCAAAAATTGAAGGAGACGTAAGGTGACGTTAGCCCACTGATAATCGCATGGTTCCCAATGACAACGGCGATTCTGCCAAAAACTCCACCAATCAGGTTCATCCAGGCCGGATGCTTGCCAAATTGACAAAAGCTGATGGTATCTTTGGCAAATGTTTATTTTCTATATTAGACAAAATTGAAGAAATCAGTTATTAAAATAAGAATGGATCTAACAACTACGTTAGAATGTTTAGCGTTTCATTATTTTTACCTATATTTTGTTATTAAAAAATGGATTTTCACATGAACTATACTTCATACCTAGTATTTTTGCTTTTTTTAAATTAAACGTGGCAACGTCTCACATTTACGTCCGAATTCCTTCCGTAGACTCAGAACCGCTGGGCAGACAATAGATCAGTAACAAAGTGTTTGCGGACCTATGTTTATTAGAAATTTTAGTCATAAAATAAACCAAAGAATCACCCCCTTTTGTTTGTAGATGATATTTAGGAACACCCTGTATAAAAAGAACGGCAACAAGTTATACAGTTGAAGGTGCGACAAGGACACTCTAAACGGTTTCAACACTGCGATGAGGAAAGCAATGGAAAACCTGCTCAGTATTTTCCTTATAGGAAAAACATCGGCATGACTGGAAAACCTAAAACCCGAGTCCTCAGTCCCCGGCAGGTTTTAAATGACCAGAGGATGCTAAGAATCACTGGGCCAGTCATGAAAACGATTGCGACCTGGAACATACAAAGTATGTTCCAAGAAAAGAAAATTCATGTTGAAAATCATCAATCTTTATAAAAATAATAACATTGTACTTGTGGTGTCATTTGTCATAAGCACCAGAACTTTGATGTTAAATTTAACGCAACAGATGTACTTTTATCGATACTTCTTGTATTTACTGTCATTATGTCATTTTGACAATTGAAATTAGTTTTATACTGGCACTCAAATTAAAACGTGTGTTTTATCTTCATAAAATCTAATAGGTTATGGGCCCAGTGTGAAAACGTTTGTTTTTTGAAAAGAAAATAAGTTCGTTCTTTTGAGACTATAAAACTATGACAATGTCGGCAAATTATTTGGTAATAGAGGGTTTAAAAGCCTGTATAGATGGCAGTGAAGCCGATACCGAAAAAATTGCAAGGTCAAAAATAATTTTGACTCTAGAATCCAGTTTATTTATACATATTAAAGAAACCACTGATGCAAAGGGTGTGTGGGACAAATTGGAAAATTTGTACGATGATACCGGAGTGAACAGTATGGTGGATGGATACAGCCCTGAGATTGAAAAATACAGGTTTTTCAATCGATGATAAGTGGGTTGGAAGCTTATTGCTACCAGCATTGTCAGAAAAGTATGAACCCATGTTGATGGCTATCGAACACTCCGGTATTGACATCACGACAGATAAAATTAAAACTAAGCTTTTGGACATGGAAGTGGAAGGAAAAACAAGTGGAGCTTTTGCGACTAAGACTAAGGCATTCTTCACCAAGAAGAAAAAAATAAGTTACTTGTTACCGATGCAGGGTTAAAGGCCATTATGCATATCAGTGTCCTGAAAAAGACCAAAATAAAAAAGACAAGAAAAACACTGAGAGAAAATAAATGTGTTTATTGCTGTTTTTTGGAGTGGTCAGTTTAGTAGCCAGGATTGGTATGTGGATTCAGGTGCAAGTGCACACCTAATACCCCAAACAAAGCATTCATGGATGTCAGAAGCAAACCAGCACAAATGCAGGTCATTGTTATTGCAAATAAAATCACTGCTACAGTAGAATGTGTGGGAAATGTTGAGTTGCAAACTAAAGTGGGAAACAAGAGTTTTAAGGTCACAGTCCAGGACATTCTGTGTGTGCCACAACTAACAACAAATTTGCTGTCGGTAAGTCAACTCATCGAGCATGGAAACGAAGTTCAATTTGATGATATGGGTTGCAAAATTTACAATAAACAGCAAGAATTGATTGGTGAGGCAAACCTAATAAACAATGTTTACAAATTGAAAACAGGCATTTGGCAACAATGTTGGTTGGCAGAGACATCAAAGGTATATAACAGCAGAAACATGGCATCATACACTAGGTCATGTAAACAGTGCAGATTTAACAAAAATGCGAAATGGTGCTGTGCAGGGAATAAATTTTCAAGGAGAAATGAGTATTGCAACGAAGGAAATTAAACACAAAATTTTTTTTCCAAAAAAGGGCTCCAATGCTGAAAATTTATTGGACCTTGTGCACGTTGATATCTGCAGGCCCATGGAGGTGAAATCTATAGGAGGGGCAAAGTATTTTTTAGTACTTGAAGATGATCTCAGTAAAATGTCATTTGTTTATTTTTGCAAAACAAAAAATGAAACATTAAATTTGTCCTTAGAGCTTAAGAACATGAAGAAAACCAAGTTAACCCAAAGATAAAGACAGTTAGATCAGACAATGGTAGAGAGTTTCGTGGATCAGATGTTGAAAATATGCTCAAAAAGTTTGGAATAATTCACCAGAAAACAAACAGTTATACGCCTGAGCAAAATGGCAACACTGAGTGTATGAATAGAACGTTGGTAGAAAAAGCGAGATGCTTACTATATGATACCAACTTGGACAAAAAGTTTTGGGCAGAAGCAGTCAACACTGCTGTCTACTTGCGAAATAGGAGCATTGCTTGAAGGTCTAGACAATAAAACACCTCATGAAGTATGGTCAGGAAAAAAGCCAGATGTGAGCCATCTTAGGATTTTTGGCAGCACTGCGATGGTTCTTATGCCAAAACAAAAAAGACAAAAACGGGACAAAAAATCCAAAAAGATGGTCTTGGTAGGATTCAGCGATACCACTACAGGCTAGAGGCTCTATGACCCAATAAAAAATGATGTTTTAATCAGTCGTTATGTGAATATAATTGAAGAAAATAAAAAAGAGGAGGTTGTGATATGTTTGGACAAAGAAAACTCAGCTTCAGTGGGGGATGGATCAGAAATAGAGAGTGAGCAAGAGAGTGAGTCTGAAGACATTTCTGATTCAGCTGAAAGTTAGGGCAATGACACTAGTGATGAGGATTTCACTGTTGAACAAGTAAATGACAACACTATCGACAACACTATAAGAAAGTCAAGTAGAGTTCCGAAACCCAAAGAGTTCAGTGATTATGTTACATATTCCTCCGTGACAGATCTTGATGACCCAAAATCTGTCAAAGAGGCGCTTTCTGGAGCTGATGCAGAAAAGTGGCAAGCAGCAATGAAAGATGAACTTAACTCTTTTGAAGAGAATTCAGCATGGTAATAAGTGGGTATTCAAGAAAAAAAGGAATAGTGAGGGGGAAGTCACCTATCGTGCACGGCTTGTTGCTCGTGACTTTACGCAAGAGCAAGGTGTCGATTATGGAGAGACTTTTTTTCCAGTGGTGCGGCATTCGACATTGAGACTTTTGATTGCTTTGTCAATTAAGATGGACTTGGAAATCACGGACTTGGATGTAAAGACAGTCTTCCTAAATGGTTATCTGAAGGAGAAGGTATACGTGAAACTTCCAGAAGGGTATGTACACTCTTATTCAAATAAAAAACTTGTTTTGAAACTCAATCGTGCAGTTTATGGGCTTAAACAGGCATCTCGAGCCTGGAATGATAGAGTTAACAGTGTTTTAATAGATTTGGGTTACAAAAAATCTAATTTAGAGCCTTGTTTATTTATTAAGAAAAATGTTGATAAATCTTTGACCATTGTAGCTCTCTATGTGGACGATTTTTTTTTGTTTTTTCAAGTTCTAAAAGTGAAACTGAATGTTTAAAAAAAGGACTCAAATCAGTTATTAATTAAATTCAATATGACTTAATGTAAAACTGTAAAAACGCCATTGGAAATGAAGTTGAATCTAGAAAAAACGAAGAAAAATGAGACTGATATTCCTTATCAACAATTAATTGGTTCGTTAATGTACTTGGCAGTTCTAACAAGACCAGATATTGCTTTTGGCGTCAGTTTTTTTTGAGTCAATATAACAATTGTCATAATGATACCCACTGGAAATACGCCAAAAGAATTCTAAGGTACTTGAAGGGTACAAAGGTTTGAGGTTTACTTATAAGAATACAGAACTGGTTGCATTTGTGAATGCTGACTAGTGAGCAAATAATTCCTCAGATCGAAGGTCATATACAGGTTTTGCCTTTAAAATGTGTGGTTCTATAGTCAAAGTCAAAATCAAGATCCATACTTACAATACGAGCAACAAAAAAATGTTGAAAAACAATTTTATCACAATCATCATTTGTAGCATTCATGAACATTCTATTTAGTGAAGAATACTGTTCATAATTTGTTCGATGACATTAAAGTTTGAATGTATCAACAACCCTCAACCGTCTTGGAAGGACATAAATGGGTATCAGCGCCAAAATATCAGTACAATCTATATTATTATTGAGTAATTTATAAATAAAAGTTTTACCAAAATTAGTACGCCTTTCGTTTAATGGTTTCAATTTTAACAAATCTTTAATATAATCATACGAGAAATTCTCTTGGCTTATACCCAACTTACAACTGGCAAAAATCTTGTACGGATAGAGTGCGCAATGAAGATGTGCTAACGAGAATGTCAAAAGATCTTGAAGTTATGTTTACGCTTAAAAATCGAAAGTTAGAGTACTTCGGACACATAGGAAGAATGACAAATACCTACTTCTCAAGCTCATAATCGAGGGAAAAATCGAAGGCAGAAGAGACCCTGGACGTCGAAGAATATCTTTGCTAAAGAATTTGCGTCACTGGTAATATGGCAAAACCACGACATGTCTATTCAGGAAAGGCAGCCAACGTTTATAGAGAACAAGGCACTTGAAGAAGAAGAAGAAGAATGGAGCTGTCTGACTATTTGCTCCAACTTGTATCGTTTTATTGTTACACAAGAACTCTAATACATTTAAGACTATTCAAAGAGTGTAGGTATTCGCGACTGGCCAGTTATAAATAGAAGACTGATACCCCAGAAAATACCTTCTATTTAAGACTATTTAGATAGAATTTGATGGAAAATAATTGAAAATCGCGGAGAATATCGTTGGAATTGAATCTAACACTCATATAAAGCGGTTTCCATACAATTTCTGTTGGTATTTCAAAGTGAAGTGATCAATTCCGCTAGACATTTTCACAGAGCTGAATCTATCAAAACTGAATGGAAAACACTGTCTACACATAAGCCAAAACTTGAATGTATAGTAAAAATACCAGTACAAACAGATCCAAACGGCATATTGAAAACTGGTTAATACCGGATTTAAAAATGGTTAAAAAACTTCTTCTGCTGCTGATAATAATTCCTGATTCTATAAAAAAAAAATGGTACCAGTATCAATTTTTATAAATTAAACATTTTCACGATAATTTTTAGTGAAATGTGATAAACCAGAATGAGACACACTCAACACAAATAATATTCACATTTAGAAAAAGTTAAATATTAAAGACGTTATGGCAGCGTGGAATCACTTCAAATTTGAATGTTGTGTAGATGTAATTCATAAAAATTGAATTTTGTTTCGATACTCACCTGAGACAATGTAACAAAGGATTCATGAAGCAAAATTTCAGAAGCATGTTTGTCGAGAAAAGAATGACATACTTTAATTAGTTTATCCAAACCGTACAAATGGGCCGTGTCTAAAATTGAAGGGGATAATTTACAGCTAATAAACAAAAAATGCTTCCTACCTAAAATGGCGCATACATTTCTTAAAGCCAACAATTGCCTTAAAATGTCCGAAATCGCCGATTCCAACTCTTCGAAACCATATTGATGTGCCAGTCCTAGGGTATCCAAAATGACGTCTTCTTTCAAGGTCATTAGGAACATATGACCTGGAATTTTTGTAATTTGGACATCTAAGCAATATTGATATTAAGTAACAAAAAGGTTTTTTTTTTTTTGATATAATATTAAACTCTGACAGAAGCTTACATAATTATGTATTTATAACACTTTTAATGGTAATTCAAAACAGTAAAAAAAGTACTGGCACCACAGTTTCTCAACAATGATTTAAATGACATTTTTGAAAACTAAGCTGGAACAGTAAATTTGTAGAGTAAAAATCAAACGAGAAGAAGCCATTGTCATCAGCGCTGACAAAGAAAGCAGATTTCCTTTTCTTTGCGTCCCTACTATTTAAAGTGAGACAAACGATAACCCGTGTGGCTTCTTCTTGTTTGATTTCTACCCTACAAGGGAAGCCAAAATTCATTCGAATTCCTAAAAACAAGTCTATATTTTATGGGACTATCGATTGGGTTGGAAATGGAATTTTATATTTTATATGTCACAGCTAAAAATAGATATTGGAAGATTTTGTAATGTGTCATCTTTTTTTTTGATGATTCAATTTCTAATAAATCTCATATTCTCTTTGAAATATTCTATTACATTTTCTCTTTCCTGGAAATCCTTTTTCACTAATATTTTCATGGCAATCCGTGAAGTTGTTAAGCAATCCCAAAAAATGGTCGGTAGTGAGTTATAGACATGAACCAATACGTAACCTTTACCAATACTAAGAATAAGTAGCACGACTTAGCATAATCATAGAATAAGCATATTTTGTATTTTATTATTTCATGGGAGGTTTTTTCATAGCATAGAATTAGTCTTCAGTTACACATCGTATCAGTAGGTTAAGTCTTACAAAAATAAACCTTTTTTTTTAAAGCATCAGTATTCAAGTTGCGACTACCAGAAAATCACAGAATTATGTAAAGTTCTTTAGTTTAAAATATCATTCTTACCTGTATAAATATATTTCAGCAAAATTTTGAACGCGTTCAAGGGGGCATCATGTAAAATGATCTCAGGTTGATTTGATTCTTTTAAGCCACCATATAGAAGTGCTCGGAAATATTCACTACGTGCCGCTAAAATAACCTACAAATAAAATTATTAACCATGAAGCACCAGTACCTGAAATTATCTCAACATTTTATAGAACTGCACATAAATTCTATTGATTGAATACCAGAATTAATTCTTCTGGAATTTTCTTTTTTTTTTTAGAGAATAAAAACGTCACAAACATTGAAGAACTTGGAATAAACAAAAAATCAGAATGGTGTCAACTAATGGAGATTTGTAGGGGAGAGCATTGGCCTTAGTTTGAACCTGATCACGTTGAGATCAGATTGAAATTAACAAAGTTGTACCAATGTCATTTTGGAAGAAAATTTTTCTCCTTGATTTTTCGACTTTGAACTAATAGTGTTGAAGCTGCATTGAAATTTGAAACTGTCAAATTTCCCTATATTTTTACTCCAAGCTCTTGTAGAGATAATTTTCATCAAAAACTCTTATTCAGGGTCTAATAGGTGTAATTAAATAAAGCTAAAACATTCTCATATTTAAGAAGGTGAAGAGCTAGTTAGCTTGCGTTATAGTAAGTAATTACGAATCTCTTGATTTTTCTCTTTTTGTATTTAGAGAAGAAAGACATAAAAAAATTCAAGAGCTTGGAATAAACGAAAAGTAAGTTTAAACACAAATTGACATTGGAAAAAAAATTAGAAAAATAATTTTGTACACAGTTTACAGATTCCTACCTTGTGAGCATGTAATTTTTGTCCTTCAACCACCAAAACAATATCGGAATACTCGGGAGTCAAGCAAAGAGCTAATAAATTTTCAGATAATTGGGGTAGATGTTCGATATCTCCAAGACGAGTGATTGGTTTTGAACTTGAAGCTTTTAGATATTGGTGGCTGCTGCTCATCTGAAATAACAAATCGAATATAAATGAAAATGACAAAATAACTCTTAAATTACCAAATTGGATTAATAATGTAGGTAGGTATGGTTTATACAAAGTTAATACGAATAGCATAAAAACTGTGTAGGCGGCATCTTCTTACGAAATTAAGCATATGCGTGCAAAAGCCTAGGAATTCCCATGAACGAAAAATTCTAAATCTAATTCCTAGGCTGTTGCAAGCATATGCTGAATTTCACTAGAAGATGCTGCCTACACCGTTTTTATGCTATTCGGATTGACTTCGTATAAACTAAACTATAATGTAAATATGGCAACGCTACATGTTGAACGTGTATTCCTTCAAAATGCATTTATCTGAAAATTTCTTCAAAAATGAAGTAAATTAATATAAAGTTCAAGTTCCAGAAAATCTGAAAATGTGAGAGTAGAAGACCTTCACTAAAAAGTTAGGATGAGATGAAGCACTTCTATATGATATTTGTAAGATCTGGAAGGATAAGGCTTGCTTGTTAACAGGACTAAAAACCTACCAAAAGTTGTTAAAATCAAAACAAATAAAAGTATTTTTTCAACATGCAGAAACATAAAGAAATATACTGATCATCTCATAGAAAATCGAAATACAATATACTATAAAAAGAAGCAGAAAAAGGGATGATCAGGAATTGGGAAAAAAGTTAAAAGATTGAACAATAAAGTCGGCAATAAAATCAAGACTTGGAAAAATACATATACATTTTAGGATAAAATTATATGGGAGCAACCAGATATACCAATAGAAATAGGTACCTATGTAAATAATTTTGTAAATATTGAAATTGAAACCTTGAAACATGATGATGCTATGATAAGCAAACCAAGAGATATTGTTCATTGTTTGAAAGCTTAAACGGCTTCATTTTTCAACTCCATGTTACTACTCCTCTATACCTTTACCTACTCTAAGTTTGAAAGTGAATCAAAAGGAATTCTTTTTTGAAAAGTAATATCAAACCTGAAGTATTCACGGATAGATGGAGCTAATATATTGTTAATAATGAATCCATTCTACCAGTGAAGTATCAATAATAATAATAATTTTGTATAAAATAAAAATATTCTCAGTTTCATATTTTGTTGTTCACTCTCCAGATATTTCCTGGCTTATACCTAGTTCTTATTAATAATAGAAATGGAAATATTTTGACTGCATAATGATATTACAAATATGTTTATTAATTTATTAATCTCAGATTCATACTGTCGCCACTCCTCTTGGTTCCTAGTTGTTTTATGCTGACGCTAACATTTTCTCAGCTGATAATAATTTCTTAGGTTGCAATAATCAAATAATCTAGACAAGTAATGTTGTTTTTCAATACGTGGAAAAAGAAACGATATAAAAGCCCCTAAAAGGCCATTTTCTCCTTATATACATGGGTAGTTTTAGCCCTTGAGGAATGTACAGTGTGTTTCGGAATAATTTCTGGGTAGTTAAAAGATTAAATCTATGTACAGGACAAAAAAAAACTAAATTTATGGTTTTAAAACAAAAAAATAAATAAATTTTACTAAACCCTCAATACATATAGGTAAACCAAGTAGGTGTGTAGTAGGTTAGTAGTACACTCAGGACAAATAATGTTAAACAAAAATCTCGACTGGCGTTAACATATCAAGCCTCTTTCAAATAAGTTAAATCCAATTATTGCAAATTTGTATTGGGCCAGAAGTTATCTTTCAAGACAGAGTAAGATTGATGTTTATAATGCATATTTTCTTTCTTATTATATTTTAGGTATTTAATTCCTGTATTGGGTATGTGTGGTACAATCGCTTAGGAGATATAATCAGCTACACTGAAGATGTATTTAAGGGAGATTTGCCTATAACCCGTGCATTGGCTCGCAGCTGGGAAACTGCTAATGCACGGGCTATGTAAGTCAGGGGTATAGAGAGTTAGGAGTAAGTCAACTAAACAAATTATGAGACCTAGATCAATGTAAACTTATGCATAAAATAATAAATAAAACACAAAAATCCAATATAAGCATTCTATTTTCTAAGGATGTTCACCAATACAATACAAGATCAGTGGAAAGCATTTTTGTAAATATAGAAACAAAATAAGGGTTCGTATAACCTAGTAGTCCAAGCGTCATCTTCTCTTATAAATTAGGTACCTGCAGATTTAAAAAATACTACTATTAAAAATTTATTAAAAATGTTAAAAAACACATTGCCATACATTAGTTAGTACCTATGGAAAGTAGATTTAATTTATCCTGAGAAATTATCGCTCATTGTTAATTTATAAAAAAAGAACACAGTTGTATTTAATCAGGTATTTAATATTCAATTATGCATATCTTCAATTCCAGTGCTTCAAGTACAAGGTGTTCCAAGTGGACACTTTTAATAAGCTGAATCCAGTGATATTCTCAGTTTTTTTCTATTTGGCCCCGATTTCAAGATACCGACCATAGTCCGATTTATTAAATAGTACACCCTATATTATATAATAGCTCAATGGATAGCTCTGCTTTTCCTGATTTCAATGATATAAAGTTCGATGGGTTTAAGAAGAGCGGGTACAAAAAACTCCATATATTGATGAAGAGGTAAATGCACAATTACAAATGAGAGATAAACTATATTATTGAGTATTGAGCAAGATATAGCGAAGATGGGTTGGATTGGACTTTGTATATGTTACTGTGAAAGTCCGAAATTAGTGAATGTCGACATTCACCGGTTAATGTCGACAAACACCAAATGAGTTGGTGGAAGACCGAACATTTATTAGTTTTATTATAATTTCGGACCTTCACCGGTGTATCTCGGCATTCACGAATGAGCTCCGGTCAATGTCGGAAACGACAGGTTTAAACTGGATTTTTCTGCTTTGGTCCGCTTCTGTTAGGGCTTGTTAGTCTTATGCAAGGTTTGATAGCGTATACTGCAATCTTACTACCTAATTTAACTTCAATATATGTTATTAAAATTTGTGTTCAATGGCTACTACTGCAGTCAATAGTGATCAGTTTTTTGAAAAGTTACATGTCCTAATTAGAAGTAAACGAGAAGACAATTGTTTTTATTTTTCTCAAGAAAGGTACTGTAAAATCGTTTGTGAAGTGCCTTCTGCTAAAAGTAAGTGCAGTACACCTTTGGACTACAGACGTTTGAAACGTTTCGACATCCTGAAAGTTAGTGACGAACAAAAGCTAATTGTGCTATTAAAACCAGGAGAAACGAATATTCAGTATTATGTTACAAATGAAGAATTATTTGATATACTTTCCGAAACTCACATAAGAACAGGCCATGGAGGTAGAACACGAATGCTCAAAGAATTGCAAGCTAAATACAAAAATATTACTTATGAAGTCATAATGTTGTATTTAAATTTGTGTAAACAATGTCAAATGAAACACAGTGTGCCAAGAAAAGGTATTGTTGTGAAACCAATGGTGAGTTCCGAATTAAACTCTAGATGTCAAGTGGATTTAATAGACTTGCAATCACATGGCGATGGCGATTATAAATTCATAATGGTATACCAGGATCATTTGACGAAGTTTGTTCAGTTACGACCATTAAAAACCAAGAGAGCAGAAGAAGTAGCATATCACCTTCTTCATATTTTTCTAATATTTGGTGCTCCCGCTATATTGCATTCAGATAATGGTAGAGAGTTCAGTAACCGAGTTATATCTGAACTGTGCGCTATGTGGAAAGATGTTAAAATAGTGCACGGAAAGCCTCGTCATAGCCAAACACAAGGCTCAGTCGAAAGAGCGAATCAGGACATACAGAATATGTTAACTGCTTGGATGCACGATAATGATACGAATAAATGGTCAGAAGGCTTGTCGTTTGTCCAATTCGCCAAAAACACAGCTCATCATGAAGGGATACGCCAGAGTCCATATGAAGCTCTGTTTGGCGTTAAACCAAAAAGAGGCATAGCATCGTCATCTCTCCCTCACGGACAAATTTCTAACATTGAAACCGAGGAACAGCTAGAAGCTTACGTTAAAACTTGTGAAGAAAATTTGGTTAGTGACCACATCGATAATCCTGTTCTGGATGAAAGTGACATGGATGACCAAAATACCATTGGAGCCAATCCACAACCTTCATCTCAAGTACTGACTGATCCACAACCCAGCACATCTTCATTTCGAGTATTGACTGATCTGCAACCGAATTCGTCTTCATGTCAAGTTCTGACTGAACAACACGAGCTAATTTATTCAAAAAGAGTAGCCGCAAAAGAAAATCTTCTACTTCAAGCAACAAAAATGTTGCGAACCTCAAAAAAAAAGTTTCCTCCGGCCCAAATTGGCGATACCGTAAGAATTAAAGTCCCTGACGTCGACCGTGGGCGTACAGACCCCCGAAATGTGTTAGCAACTGTTATTGGGATAGAGGATTCAGACTTTTATAAGTTAGCAAATAAAAATGGTACCTTAAAGCAGCTTTTCACCCGTAATCAATTCGCAATTTGTAAAGAAAAGTTAATTTCCATGGATGAGATTTCAACTCAAGAAATATCGCCAAGAGAAGTAGCTTCTGCTAATTCAAAAAGTGGAGGGCAAGGCTATACACGTTGTAACTGCAAACAGAAGTGTTCCACAGCTAAATGTAGCTGTAAAAACAAAAGACTTTTGTGCAATTCCAAGTGTCATGGTAGTTTGAGTTGTTGCAATAAATAAGATTGTCATACATTCACTTTTCTTTTTTTTTGTTTAAAAAAATTAAATGAAAGTGTTATATAATATTTTTCTTGAGTTTGTTCTGAATTCAACAATTTTTTTATGTTTATTGGAAAACTTTTCCCATGCATTAGTATAAAATAAATTATAACCCACGCTTTATTATTGTTTTTGTTTAATAAAAAAAATGTTTATTTTCAACATACACCATGAGTGCATGATGAATGTTGACATTCGCCGGTGTAAGTTAGAAATAATGATATTTGAACAATACTTCGGACATACGCCAAGAAACTTGGT